CTCTCTCTCTCTCTCTCTCTCTCTCTCTCTCTCTCTCTCTCTCGCTCGCTCTCCACCGGTTCCCAACTGATGCTTAGTTCACCAGTCGGACGAAACAAAAGGGCTGAAGACAGAAGAGACCACACGGCAAACCCATCGCAGTGAAACCTACAAAACACGCAACAACCCCGCCCACCTTGGCCTCATCGATGTGCTGAAAGCAGGGACGCATCTGCATGGTGGCGTGGATCGGGGTCAGATGTAGCTCGTCGCTCCGAATCACGCCGAACGCGAAGTTCGTCGCCGGTCGCACCCTGCATACCACCACCCCGTTGTAGATGAGAAAATAAAAAACGATTTGTTTTGAGGATACGGGTTCCATACAGTTTGCAGTCTTGTCGCCCCCGTCGGTTCTCTCTCTTTCTCCCTCTCTCTCTCTCTCTGGTTGTCTTCGTGTCTTCTCCATCTGTCTGTCTGTCTGGAACTAGCTGGCACAGGAGCTTCATGCAAGAGCCGGGGCCGTGCGGAAGCACACCTCCTGCCGAGGTCGCCATCCTCACGTTTCGCGAACTCGTAAATTACATGGAAAAAAAAGACGGGCTGAATATCGAAGGCCTCGGCGACTACGAGTCCCGAGTCTCATCGTGAGTCGAGCTAGGAATCGATCCTTGAAGGACTCGTGCATTAAGCTCGCGCTCGCGTGCATTGTGATCCACCCCCCAACGACCCATTGGTCAAAGCGAGCTTTGCGTGGGCCAAGTGTTCGGCACCAACCGACGACAGTTCCACAACCACCCTAGCCCAAAACTTTCAACGAGCACGAGAGCAACCGCCACGAAATTTGAAGAAAACACTAAAAGGAAGATCGAAGGAGCAGCCTGACCTGCTGCCCGTGTGCTTTTGAGTGGCCCGCCGGAGTTGCCCCGGGGCGTTCTTGTCGTAGTGCTTGCCTCCCTGCTTGATAGGGTGCTCCACCTCCAGCAGGTGGTTCGCTGCTTTCACCTGTGACGTGAGAGGGGGCGGGGGGGGGGCAACGTCGGCCTCGGATAAGTACAAGACCCGCTTCTTTAGAGCGGCTGAGAAGTGGGTCTCGTTGCTCTTGGCTGCGTTATAATAAATAGCGAGGTGTCTTCCGCATGGAGACGTTGGTCCCGGTCCCAAGAAGTTTGCGGATCGGAGGATACGTAGCAATTGCGAGGCGGTTGGACTTGCAAACCGTGTATTGTACCAAAGCAGGACTACGTTGGTAAAATCCATCCGTGAAAGCGAGGAGAGTTTTTGAGGCTATCACAGCGAGATGGCTTATTCAAATAAGCATACTGGTTGCTGTCCTGGGGGCCCATGGGTACAAGATTTATACTGTAGTCAACTTCAGGAACTTAGGAGCTAAACCAAGACTAGCAAAACAGACAAACAACGCCCGTTTGTCGTTGTTCTGCACTGGACGAGGTCACTCATCCAAATGAGCCCAAGTCCTCTGCCTCTCTTTTGTCCCCATGAACAAGCTGAAGAAGTAGAGCGCGCCCTGTCACGGCGCCTCTGAAGTCCGTCAATAGACACCGTTGCAAGCAACCCAACGGACAATATGATCAACAAGTCTAACCAGCGGTGAGTGAACATCCTCCCATGTGCTGTCTGCTACAGTACTCCGGTGGCTGGCGCTCAGAGTAACCCATTGTGTACAAAATTCAAAATCGATTCGCCCCACCAACAAGTCGGCAACCCTAAAAAGGCCGTCTCTCTCTATGGTTTATTTCATCGTTGATCGTTCTTACCACATGCTTGGTACAGCAGTACATACCTTGACTGCGAGGGGCGTGCTCGAAGGGCGATCCGCCGGCTGCATCGGGTACTGCAGTAGGTACCTATTTATCAATGTAATCGACGTCGTTCAGGGAGCAGAAACACAGCAGCGCACTTTGGGATGAGCCATGGTACGTACGGCGTGCCCCATTCCTCTCGTCCACGCAAACGCCCCAGTACAGAAGAAGTTAAGCAACAGAAGAGTGGCAAGTATGATAGATGCAACTGCCAATAGTTATTTGCCCGCCCGTGAACGCCCTTGCTTGTTCATGAACAACAACTGGAGGATGGTAAAAAAAACTGGTACGAAATGATGGCATCGACGACGACGCATCAATATGTTGAGCATTACACTCACAGGTGGTCCTCCAGCTCGTCCGCGAGGTAGACGTCCAGCACCCGATCCAGCGGGTCGTCCGGGTCGCCGTAGGCATACACGTCCTCCTCGGCGATCTCGACCCCCTTCACGACCACGCCCTTGCCGCCGCCGCCGCCGCTGCCGCTGCCGCCAACGCTGCTACGGCTCTCGCCCGGTGGAAGATCCATGTCCTCGTCCTCTTCCTCTTCGGACATGGGGTCGTCCATCGAGGGGTCCATTTCAGCTGCTGCTGGTGATGCTGGTGGTGGTCTGCTGCTCTTGCTTTAGTATTTGCTGTTCTGCTGTAGCACCCCGCGGTAGAGCCAGATCCGCGGCCAGCCGCCTGCTGTTGCCGCCTGTCAGTCCTTCGATCCCACCTGAAGCACGTTCAGGGTCAAGGTTCAAATTGCAATAGCGGAAAAACACGTTGTATCTGCAGGCATGCATCACATGAAACGCACACCCACCAGGGTCAGCTGCCGGTGGTCCACAGCAAACGGGTGCCAAGATATCAACACGTTGCCAACCACAGGAACACGAGGAGGTGCTGTTGGTGCTGCAGATGGAGATTGTGGATGCCAGGCTGGTTTTCTCTTGCTGCTGCAGCATCCTCAGTGCAAGCAGTTGATAGGTGTTACACGATTAATCACCTAGCCTCTTTCTGTCACCTGTGCCAAGCCGATCTCCTGCCCAGGTCAAGGGGTGTGCTCTCCAGAGAGCATGCTATGTGCTGTGTGCCGCGGAGGTTGTTCGCCCAGAACCTCCGTACGTACAACAGCTGGAATTTAAAGCCTGGGGGG